GGAAGAACAGCCAAGCTGGGAAATGGATCAGAGGTTGCCCTGAGGCCTGCACATCAGAGTGCCGAGATGGGCCCGGACACAGAGATGTGCCTTTCAGCCACGCGTGGCCTGCAGTCCCACTGTCTATGTCCATTGCCCCCTCTTCTGTCTGTGGGAGGTAAATGAGTGTCCTCACTCCTGCGTGACACAGGGGCTAATCTACCCAGCACATATTTGATGGTCTGGATCATGGCCCAGGCCCACCTCGCCTCTGCCCCCTGCTCTGATGGGAAGTCCCTGTCCTTTGCGCTTTCACACCTGCACAGTGTGCCAGCTTAGGCAGTCAAGAGTCTCAAACAGGTGAAAAGATTCAGTTTGGGACACACTGTCCCAAAACTGGACCTCTTTCTCATCATCAGGGAAATTATAATTGAGAACTCCCCCCACAGCCCCTCACCCCAACCTTCTTCTACCCACTGTTACCTAGCTTCTTACTCTTTTCTAAAAATGCACCCATTTCCAACACCCATTTTCTTTCTTTTCTTTTCTTTTTTTAAAAATTTTATTGAATCACCATGAGATAGCTATAAGCTTTCATGTTTGGGTTACAATAACTCAATGATCGAACACCCATCCCTCCACTGGTGCACATTTCCCACCACCAATATCCCCAGTATAACCCCCTTTCCCACCTTCCCCCTGCTTCATGGCAAACAAAATTCCCCATACTCTCTCTCTACTTTTGGGCATTATGGTTTGCAATACAGACCCTGAGAGATTATCATGTTTGGTCCTTTATCTACTTTCGGCACACATCTCCCATCCCAACCGGTTCCTCCAGCCATCATTTTCTTAGTGACCCCCTTCTTATTCCAGCTGCCTTCTCCCCTCTGCTCATGAGGCAGGCTTTCAGCTACGGAGCAAGCTGCCTGGCCCTTGTATCTACTGTTCTTGGGCCAACACCCATTTTCAAGCTTAAATATCTCCAATGATTTTCCATTACATCAAAATAAAAACACTTCTTCCTGTAGCCCATTAGATTCTTCACTGCTCTGCAGCCTCCTCTTGGCTGATTGTTTTCCCTGGTCTCACAGAATCTCTTAGAACCAAAATGCACCTCTCTGCCTGCTCGTGCTTCCCCTGATCGCATGTGGGCCTAGGAAACACCTCAGCCCCCAAGATCTAGTCCCGACATTCCCTTTGCTGGAATGCATATGGACACTGATCTGTCAGCCTTATGCTTATGCCTTACTGCTTGTCAGAATACATGAAAATCATTGCAACGCAGATCTCCTGACTGGACACTAGCTCCTGGGGGACAAGGCCTGAACTTTACCTTTTATTCCTCATTTAAACATAGGTTCTGCTACATACTAAGTGCTCGGTGCATGTTTGAGCTGCTACGGGACCTCCCAGTAGTCCTTTGGTCTGTGCACATCGCCAGAGGCCTTTGGTGGCCTGATACTCTCTTCAGTGAGCGAACAGGAAACAGCACAAACGCCCAGCAGAGAAGGAACCCTGAGGCTTTCTCCTTTATTCTTGGTCATAATTGTCCAACTTCAAAATAAATTCTGTAACACACCTCGTCACCAGGCTTATCATACTATCAAAGGTTGTTTGATGTCAGTTTAAGTGAAACAAAGTGGTAGAGGAAGAGAGGAAGTCCCATGCCATGGGAGGGGTGAGCAGGGAGGGAGCCTCATGCCACTGCAGTGGTTGGCAACAGTGTGGACCCCCAAAAGTCAGGTCCAGTCTGGGGAGAGGCACTGCCCATTGCATAGGCGTGGATGCTGTGTCAATGGACTGTGGTGGGGGTGTGTGTGTGGGGGGGAGGGTCTGGAGGAAGATCCAGTCACGATAATGCCACTGATGGCATATAAAAAAGCAGTTTAGACTTTTAAAAAGCATCTTGCAGGCTAGGGATGCAGCTCAGCAGTAAAGCCCTTGCTTGCGTGTGTGAGGTCCAATACTGCAAGAGAAATACTCAGATGCAGGAACGGAGGCATCCCCCAAAGGAGAAACGCCAGAGACAGCACAGCAGCTCGAGCACTAGCCTTGAGATTCAGTTCCTGGTACCACACATGGACTCCTGCACACTGCCAGGAGTGACCCCTGAGAGCAGAGCTGAGAGTAAGTCCTGACCACAGTTGGGAATGGCCCCCAAACAAAACAAAACAAAACAAAACAAATAGAAAAATAGCTTCAAGAACAACAAAAGATCCTGTCAGGATTGTGGAACAGACCCTCAGGAATCCAAGGATATTCCCTAAGTCCTTGGTGGGATTTGGGGAAAAGATCGCCTATAAAATCTCCTTTTAAAGGAAAACAAGTCACAGTCTCTGCTGCCAAACTGTAATGTATCCTCTCCTCTCTCCCATCTCTGCTTCTTCTCCCCTCTCCCTTCCTCCTTGCCCCCTTTCCCTCTCTCTGTTCCTTCCTCCTTTTCTCTTTCCTTTTTTTCTCCCTCTCTCCTTCACCTTTAAAAATTTTTTTTAATTGGATATATGTGAGATAGACCATTACAAAGCTGTTCATAATTGGGTTTTAGTCATACAATGACCCAGCATCCATCCCTCCACTAGTGTACATTTCCCACCACCAATGTCCCCCATTTCCCCACCACCATCCCCCAACCCTTCATCCCCTATCGTCAGCCTCCCTCTATGGGAGGCACTTTCCTTCTTGCTCTTGCTCTTTTTCCTTTTGTGCATTATGGTTTGCAATACAGGTGCTAAGAGATCATGGTGTTTCTTCAGGACATTCAGTATTTTTATCGGGACGGTAAGGCTGGAGTAGCTTTGCGACTGGGTGGCAACTTTGGGGTGTGGATGTGACTGCCGAGGCTCCCAGAAGTATAGGGGGTAGGGGGAAGTAGCCCATCCCAATCCCGCGAAAGCCTGGAGATTTAAGTGAAAAAACCCACATACCCAAATTTTCAGCAGATTATATCTTGGTGAGATCTGTCCTGAGATGGTGGAGTCAGGCTGTCTCCTTCACCTTCTTTCCCTCCTTTTCTCTTTCCTTTCCCCAAATAAAAATATTTTATTTTATTCCCCAAATAAAAATATTTTTCTTCACTAAAATAAATAAACAGGCAAAAGCATGTCACACCTAAGGCACTAAGACTAGCCTACACCTTGAACAATGAAAGCAGTGAAAGGAGAATAAGAAGTTACGATTCAATGGTGTGGGACATGGAGGGTAGTCAAGATAGAGGAGCATCCATTAATGACAATACTATGTGGAAATGATCACTATGGACAAGAACTGAGTGTTGAAAGCAGATGAAGGGGTGTATATGACATCCCCTCGGCATCTGTATCGCAAACCGTAATGCCTAAAATGAGAGAAAGAGAGAGAAAAGAGGTGCCTGCCAAAGAGGCACGGTGGGTTGGGGGGTGACATGAAGGGGTGGGAGGGAAACTGGGGACACTGGTGCTGGGAAATTATATCAGTGGAGGGATGGGTGTTGGAATATTGTATGACTGAGATCAACCATGAACAATTTTGTAATGCTCTATCTCTTGGTGATTCACTGTCACTGTCTGTCCTCCCGTTGTTCATCGATTTGCTTGAGCGGGCCCAGTAACGTCTCCATTGTGAGACTTCTTGTTACTATGTTTGGCATACTGAATACTCTCGGTAGCTTGCCAGCCTCTCCGAGAGGGGTGGAGGAATTGAACCCGGCTCGACCGGGCTGGCTGTGTGCAAGGCAAACGCCCTACCGCTGTGCTATCTTGGCCTCACTTGGTGATTCAATTAAAAAAAAAAGATGTTATTATTGAGACTTTGTTTGACCCTTAAAGTATATAAGGAAAGGTATTTGTCTTCTCTAAAAGACTTGCTGAAAAAAATTCAGACCATAAAAGAAAGAACCAGCGGGGCTGGAGTTCATGCCTTGCACAAGGGTCAAGCCAGGTTTGATCCCTGGCACCCCATCTGGTCCTCTGAGCCTGCCAGGAGTGAGCCCTGAGTTCAGAGCATGGAATAACCCCAGAGCACTGCTCGGTGTGGCCCCCAAACAAAACAAAACAAAAATTTCTTTTTCAAAATTTAAATTAAAAAAAATTGAAAATTGATGAAATTTTATCTGAAATCAGCAGGCACTTGTAGACCCTATTCTTCTTAAGTCAATTTAACAAACACAATACATTAAATAACTAATTATGAATTAGATTGTTTTCCTAATTTACTGAGTGCCATAAATCTATAAACTTTCTGTGCTTCTTTCCATCATTAAAAAATATTTAAAATACATTTTATTTTTTCTAATTAAATAACCCAATATCAGAGGTCAATTTCCATTTTAAGGAGAATGATTTTACAATTGACAATTATTTAGAACAGGTGCTATTATGTTCACAGTTTTTAAGCTATTTGGTTTTTACATCTGGATGTCAGAGCTAATCAGAGGTGTTTTTCTCTCTTTTCTATCTGTCGTCACCATCTGAAGCTCAGTTTGAGGCTTCTCGGTATATTTTGTAGATCATTAGTTTTTGGCATCTTCTCTAGCAGAATGACCAATGTGGTTCATCTCTTTCTCTGGGCACAATTAGCTGTGAAAACAGATCTTAGAACAGACTCTCACCCCCAAAGGATTACTGAAGGTAGGAAATGCAGGTGATTATCAGAGCGCTTTGATACAGACATCCTGCTCTGGCTGGCCCTTTGAACTAACTTTGATATGCAATAATTAAGAGGGAGTCAGCCCCTGGAGGAGAAGCTGCCGCAGCCCTGCCTCTGCACTCTTCTATTGAGTCCTTGTTTTGAACTATTGATCAAACAGATTTGAAGGGATTTGTTGCAGCCTGTGTGGGGTAAAGAGGAAGGAAATGAGAAGAGGGAGGAGGAGAGGTGAGGGGCGCATCTGGCTATAAACTGTTTCAGGAGGAACCTGCTCCTCAGACGTCTCCAGGTCCAGCTTGTCTATTTTTACCGGGTTACACTTCTCTTGCAGAAAGAGCTCTTCCAGAGGGCCGGGAAAAGCCCCTCCTGGGTCAGAGTGGCAGCGTGGTCTGAGGATGGTGGTGGCGGTCGTCCTGGGGCTCAGCTGGCTCTGTGTGCCCCTGGGAGCGCTGGTTCTGGACTTCAATACCATCAAAGGCGTAGACCTGCAGGGAGCTCGGAAGGTACCGTGCACCAGGGGGCTGGCCCCGTGTGGCTGGGGCTGGGGTGCTGGACAAGGACTTAAGCCACTTCATGGTGGGGATTTTTCATCATCAAGGCAAATGGGGTGGTTTGCTGTTGTGGGAGCGTGTACCCTGGCAGAATCTGATGCTTAGTTGCTCACAGATTAACCAATAAACAATGTGGCTTTGCAGGGCATTCAGTAATGAATCTGCCTGCTAATCAGGGGTTGGAATCACACTTCTAATTACAACTGACTGAAAATGAGAGAGAAAATTGAGGAATTTTTTTTACCCCTTTGGTACCTGGAATTAAACCCAACACCTCATACATATAAAGGCTTGCACGCTAACCACTGATCACTACTCTAGATCAACACTGAGTAATTTAACCAAGGCCACATAGTCAAGAAAAAAATGCTATTAATGTAAATGCAAGATTCAAGGAATAGGGCTGGAGCAATAGTATCATGGGTAGGGTGTTTTTGTCTTGCATGCGGCTGACCCTCAGCATCCCATATGGTTCCCTGATCATATGATCCTCAGCATCCCATATGGTTCCCTGAGCACTGCCAGGAGTGATTCCTGAGTGCAGAGCCTGGAGTAACCCCTGAGCCACCAGCAGGTGTGAGACCCATAAAGCAGGAAAAAAAAAAGTTTTTTTTTTTGTTTTGTCATTGGTTCATCTCATAGAACTGTTTTAGGGATCTTTTCATATATGCCTCTATGTCATGTGTGTGCATGTGTGTGTGTGTGTGTGTGTGTGTGTGTGTGTGCATGCGCAAATCAAAGGCATCAATTATAAATGAGAAATTGTTTTTTGATATCTGCTTATTTAATTCAAATAAGTCCCTAAAAGTGTCAAAGGACACCATCTGAATAAAGGTTGTCAACATAGTTGGCTAGTGGATGTTGCGAACAACTTGATGACTGGACTAAAATATCAAATAGAAATGCCAGAAACACCAAAATGTAAAAAAAAAAAGTAAAAAAAAAAAGAGAAACACCAACTCTATTCCACTAAACTGCAGATTTATACTAAAGATCTCATATCTGTAAGAGACATATGGGAAAAACTTTCTTCCATTTTCACAGTGTAAGAAAATTAGATTCTGGATTTTAAAAGTAGGACAATTTTTCACACATAAACACTTTTGTAGTACATAGGTCTCTGTGGGTGATTTACCTGCCTCTTTGTGGAAGAAAACCAATATTACTGAAAACTCACAATGCCGCCTGGGGTCTGTCGCAGCTTTAGAGCAGCTCTGACGCAACTTCCCAACATTCACACTAAAGTGACTCGCCTCAGATTGTGTTGGATTCCTTAGCCCAAGTTTCTCTTCACAGGGTTCACAGTGCTTATCTGACAAGGACTGTAATACTAGAAAATTCTGCCTCAAGCCCCAGGATGAGAAGCCATTCTGTGCTACCTGTCGTGGGGTACGGAGAAGGTGCCAGCGTGATGCCATGTGCTGCCCAGGGACACTCTGCCTGAATGGTAAGCAGGCTGCGTGCTTCACTGACTTTGGAACTGAAGACAGCACCCGAGTCTCACAGACTGTAATACTCCAAGATAGGCACTCTCAAAACCAACTTGAAGTGGATTTATGCAGCCTTTTCTCGATGTCACAAAATTTATGTCCTAGCAACAACTCTAGCAGCCAGTTGGGGAGGTTGATTTTATAGAAAAGGTTGAAATTAGACTCTTTCACATTTTCCCATTTTTACTTGAATTCCATTAACTTCTTTGCCATGAGTGATTATATAAATTTTGAGTGCGTAAGTTCCCAAATCTAGAAGATTACATATAAATTAAAGACAGAAGTACTGCCTTTAACAGCCCTCCAGAAGAGCTGGAGTTGCTATCACAGTGTCATCAGCTCATCTGTGTTTCTGTTCCTGGAAGCTAATACCTCTGACTTCCTGGCTATCTCCCAGATGTCTGCACTACAATGGAAGAAGCAATCACAGTACTGGAAAGGCAAGCTGAGGAGCAGGATGGCGTGGATACAAAAGGAACACCTGGGCATCCACTTCAGGAAAACAGACCCAAAAGGAAGCCAAACATTAAAAAATCACAAGTCAGTAAAGGTAAGAGCAGCACTCTAACACATTGGTTTTCTTTGGGCTTTTCTGCTTTTAGGTCACACCAAGCAGTGTTCAGGCACTACTCCCAGTGTAGTGCTCAGGAGTCATTTCTGGTGGTGCTTGGAGGACTATGAGGTATCAGAGATTGAACGTGGGCTTCCTACATGCAAATTCCTGTGTTCCAGGGATCAGAGAGGTAGTCCAGGGGTAAGGTCTTGGCTGACCCTGGTTCCATCCCCCTACTTTCAGCACCACCAGGAGTGATTCCTGAACACAGTACATAGACAGGAGTCAGGCCTGAGAAGCACCACATGGGTTCAAATCACCCCTTACCTACCAAAAACCACCCTTTGAGCTATCTTCCCCACTCCAACGCTTTTTTAAAATCTTTTTAAGAAAAACATTTTTCTGCTAAGCTCTAAATAAGCTGAAATTAACTTTATTCCTTTCCACCCCAGAAATACTGCTTCTGATCCCTTTCCATAAGCAGTTATAGAGATTACACAAGACATAGTATAGTTAGCAGACCAGTGGGCAAAGTAACGGACCATAAAACGGACCAATTAGTCATAAAATCTTAAAATGTAAACATTTTTATAGACCACAACTTGATAAATGACAATTTCCCCTCTAGATTCTGGTACAAAATAAAAACTTCACCAAGATCAAGTTACTTAGAAAGCTTTTGCCAATCCAGTCTTTGACATAAAGTAGCCGGGGTGTCTGAAGGTAGTGAATCAACATTCTTCTTTGGGGCTTCAGGTTAACTGATCCCTTCATAAGTAAGGGTTGATGATCCTGCCAGTATAAATTTCATTTTAAGAACATGAAGTAATACTTCATTCCTTAAGACAGGGGAAACATTTTTCTTTCATGTTTTTAAAAAGTCACAAAAGAGATTGTGCTTGGTAGACAGGGTCAGTATTTTTAACTCCTATCGCTTCGACATGTGTGCTGGCTGTAGCCTCTACTTCCCTCATGGCCTTCAGCACTGCGCCACTCCAGGATTCTCGGGATTCTCGCAGTTTCCCCCGCCCTCACCCTCGCCATTCCCTGCTGAAGCCTCTGTTCACTGTGTTACAGGACAGGAGGGGGAAAGCTGTCTGAGAACCTCTGACTGTGGACCTGGCCTCTGCTGTGCCCGTCATTTCTGGACTAAACTGTGTAAGCCAGTCCTGCTCGAGGGCCAGGTCTGCTCCCGGAGGGGACACAAAGACACCGCACAGGCGCCAGAAATCTTCCAGCGCTGCGACTGCGGCCCGGGGCTTGTGTGTCGGAGTCAGGCCACTAGCAACAGACAACACGCACGTTTAAGAGTCTGCCAAAAGCTCTAGCAAGCGGCGAATACTGCAGAATAAATAAGACTCCCAGCTGTATTCAAGCAGAAACATCAAGCAGAATTTTTAGAATTTCCATTAAAATATGTTATAATCAAATACTATACTAACTGAACGAGACTGTGCTAGACAATGTTGCTGCAGCTTTGAGAGTAATGGAAATTTGTTTTGAATTTGTTTATTTCCAGAAAAGTGCCATAATTCTGTAACAAAAAAAAAATTAACTTTTATCTAGTTATATCAGTTAGAATTAATTTTTGAATAATTTCTGATTAAGTTTTGGTACCTCACAGTACTTTCAGGGGAGGGGATATGATGTGAGGGAAAGTGATGATATCTGTTCTTAAGTGAATTCTTGTAACTTACCAGGGAAAAACAATCACAGCAAATATTTTATTTTTCCTTAATAACTCGAGTTCATATTTTACTTCTAGAAAGGAAAATGACATTTTATTACAAAATAACTTGGTTAATAAAGATGTAATAGGAAGTAGTATTTTTATGCTTGAATAGCCTTTTGGAAGTTACAAAGCATTTCCACAGTTTTCAATAATTTTACTTACATTTAAATTTTTTTTTACATTTTGTATTTATATAACTTATATTTCAAAACAATGTCTTTCTGGAATGTTTTTACTCATAAATCTTGAACACATGAACTTAAAAGTTACTTGAAAAAATTACTAGAAAAGTTACTAGAAAAAATTAAGGCAAAAAATGAAAAACGGGGGCCAAGGCAAAAGTACAGTGGGCAGAGTGTTTGCTTTGCATGTAGCCAACTGGGTTCAATACCTGGCATCACGGAAGGTCCCCCAAGCCTCAACAAGAGAAATTCTGGAGTGCAGAGCCAGGAGTCACCCCTAAACATCACCGGGTATGACTCAAAAAGCCAAAAACAAAGAAGTGAAAGATATTTTTCCTATTTAAAAAGCCATATTTTGTACATGAGTGCCTATTAGACATGATTTTGCTTAAGGAAGCTCTTTCTGATTATAAATAAGCAACTGTTACAGATTTCATTAAGCGCTATATCATATGCCTTTTTTAAAAAGTATTTATTATAAAATTTAATATGAGCTAGTCAAAACAATAAAGGTCTCTAGTATTTAAAAAGTAATGACCCCCTTTTCAGATTGGTCTCTATGTACACCTTAATAGATGAAGTTACAATCAGTAACAGGAGGAAAAGTAGTGGGACAATGGAGGTGAAAACTGAAAAAATAAGAATTTTCTTATTAAAGACTTCCTATCACCTTATCTCTTAATCCCGTCTATTAAATTATTCACAAAGTGTGATCATGAACACAGTACTCGAATTTAAGCATGTCTGCCAATAAAATAGGAACAGGTACTTAACAATGGCACAAGAGGTTTTATTCACTACAACACAAGTTAAAGTGTGATGAGAAATGATCATTCAAAAACACCAAAGACCCTTACATAGCAAATAGGAAATAAATTAAGAACCCTATGGTGCCGTGCCTGAAGGACGCAATAAGAGGCTCATTCACTCCTGTCCTTGGGTTCTCGGTATTCCCACTGGATGTAGTCGAAAATGTCTCTCTCACTGCCCACGGGCAGGGGCTCGCCAGCAACACCTGCAAACAGTCAGAACAGACTTAGGAGCTCACTTCGAAGCTTACAGATTAGAGAGTTAGAGAAGAAACGAGTAACCAGGCCACTGAAAAAGACACTGACCACCCCACTCTCCCACATAAGCTTAGTTTTGAGTTTTGTCAGTACTGGAAAATGAACCTGGAGTGGAGCAATAGCACAGCGGGTAGGGCGTCTGCCTTGCACACGACCGACCCAGGTTAGATTCCCAGCATCCCATATGGTCCTCTGAGCACTGCAAGGGGCAATTCCTGAGTGCAGAGCCAGGAGAAACCCCTGTGCATTGCCGGTTGTCATCCAAAAAGAAAAAAAAAAACAAACCAGAAAATGAACATGACTATCAATAAAAAGGTTGAAATTCAGATTTTTCCTGGCGGTTGGATCCCCACTAAAGTCATCATGGATACATGAAATAATTTAGTTAACGCCTTTGCAATTCAAATGTAGCTCCCTGAATGGAACAAAATTGGTCCTATCTGCAAGCTTACTAGAAACGCAGAATTTGTAGTATATTCTGCCCACTAAAATCAATCCTAAATTAGATTCCCACATAATGTATATGTACACTGACATATATGTAACACTGTCCTGGTCTACCACAAATTAAAGCCTTATTTTTATACTTTTAGGACAAGATCTTCATTTTCCTAGCAGAGAAAAGTAAAACACACAGAATACTGTGAAATATTAAAAATATCTATAAGCAGTCTTAGTCTTTATATTCAAAAGCATGGGGTTACCATAATGCCTTGCACTAAAGGCAGTGAGAGTTGGGTCTTTTAGAAATACATTAAAACAAAAACCCACAGAAGATGGGTTGTTTTTTTTTCATTCTTTTTTTTTTTTTAACCGATTCTTGACAATCATAGGTAGAAAGGACTTAATTCATTCTTTAAAAATTAGAATAGGGGGTGAGAGATAGTATCACAGATAGTACAGTGTTTGCCTTGCACACATCTGACCTGGGGTTAATCCCAAGTACCCCACTTGGTTCCCTAAGCCCCCTCAGGAGTGATCTCTGAGTGAAAAGCCAGGAGTAAACCCTGAGCACAGCCAGGTATGGCCCCAAAACAAAACAAAATAAATAATGTAAAATTAGAAATAACTCGAATTGAGACCTGAGGCCTCTTTTGTTGATTGAGGGATTGATGATACAAACAAACTACAGTTATCAGAAATTATTACTAAAAAGACTTTTTAGAGAAAGATAAGTTGCTAAAACTTTGAAAAAGAACAATTCTCTACAGATGATCAAGACCAATGCAGTCCCAGCTACTCACCAGTGACTCCCAAAGGACGAATTGTGTATTCGTTAATTGTGAAGCCCTTTTCTAGGGCATGAGCTCTCATATTCTTATTGAAAATATCACTTCCAGTGAAATAGAGAACTCCACAGTAATATTGGTCCTTAGGTATTAGCCTAAAAATATCAAAACACAAAATCATTTTATACACTTCAAAAATTAGCAAAAAAAAAAAAAAAGGACTTTTAAATCCCTTTAAACCAAAAGGCACAGAATACCTAAAATGAGTCTATGGTCTAATAACCTGAAGAAGACATAATCATTAGGTGCCAACTTTCAGCAAATGATGTTCTCAGGAGCTGTGGAGAAGTGAAACATATTGCTTTGTTTCTCCACCTTCTCCAATTTCCCCACCTCACTTGTACAAATAGCTTCTCCCAGCAGGAAAGTACTTCTGAGACTGAGAGGCATTACAGTGAGGCGCAAATCTAGAGAAGATAAATTAGATTCTGTAGACAGTCATTATTCCTGATGACTGTCTCCTATATCTAAGCTAGATTCTAGCAGGAACATATGGCACTTCAGAGTATTCTAGATATGTGTTCCAAGACAAACACCAGGTGAAGGCAGAAAGGAAAAGAGTTAATAGGTCAGTAAGTTACTCATAATACCTGATATCAATTCTTCTGTGTGGATATTCCTTTTCATCATTTTTATTCGGAAGCTGGCAAACACCCTAAAATGAATATTTAAAAGAACGTTTAAAAGATGTTTATAAACTTAAGGTTTAATGTTAATAAAATGTATTTAATAAAATGCTCTTTAAGCCGGTGTTCTCACGAACACATACCTCACTTGCTCGTCTGTTTCTTTTGCTTACTCATTCCCACTTTAGAGAAGCCTGTGTTCTCTCCTGAATATGTAATTCCTCTTCCTTTCCCCCCTTATATCTTTCTAAATAAGTCGCAAATATTTTTCTAAAAACAATAGTTTTCAATAAAAAAAATGTTGTTTCACCACAAAAGAAGGTTAATAAAATATCATTAAATGTATTTTTGCTTTAAAGAGGCACTTTTAGAATTCCAAATACTTTGCTGGGATGGGGAAGCGCGTGACACAGTGCTTCGTGGGACCATGTGGTGCCGGGATGGAGTCTGGAGACACATGGGCAGAACCTGCACTCCAGCTCTGGCCCCAGAGCATCTTTTTTTAAAACTCTGGATTGTTTGTCAATATGATAAATATGTGTTATTTTATATTATCACCACTTCGTGTGCTTCTCTGATAAATAATTGCACGTAGTTATAGACAAGGAATCTAGTTTCAAAGACTTCACAGTGAAGTCTTTGTGTGATTCTAAATAATATAATTAAGGAAGAATAAACATGAAAGGCAGATACACAACAAAGAGAATAAAGCATGAGGAAAGAAATGATTATTCCAGGATAATTAAAATAAGCAAAAAACTATTAGTAATATTTTCAAATACTTAAGATATTGTCTCCATGAAATGAGAACAGAGTACTACAGGAAAAGAACACTCCAGGAAATATACAATGATAGAAGCAGAGGGATTAGAAATGGAGAAATTCTCCCGAAATCAGAAAAAACAAAAATGAAAAAGAAGAAATTTAAAAGAAAAATTAAAGGAACATTCTCTTCTTCCTTACTAGTAAGTTTTACTATATTTCTACGGTTTTCAAACAAAATTTAATAAGTATGTTTTGTCATCTTTTCCTCTTTAAGAAAAATGGACAACAATTCTGGAACTGGGTAGTAATCCTTAAATAAGCAATCCTTTAAGAAAGAGTTAAAAAGAGCACCAAAATTAAAATGAAGTTCAAAATGCCACAATCTAAGTAAGATACCCAAGTGACAGGATTCTAGTCGTAAAGACTACCCAAATTAGTACATAAGTCATTAAAAGTCATACTTCTTCACTCAGCCACACAGAAAAATTAAAATAACTAAAATAGAAAATTCTAAATTGAGTATTTTCTTTAGCTATTTCACTGGCTGAAAGATTAATGAAAGCTGTTTGTCTTCAAAATATGAAACCTACCTTCTTAGGCATCAACAAGTCTCAACTCAACCTTCAAATGGATCAGAAATGATTTCCATCTGGAATTACCATGCGGTATTAGCTTGCGGATATGGGTGTTCAGATGCCACAGGCAACAATCTTGCTGTTTGTCACATCAGTAACAGGATTTCATCTAACGGCTTTGTTCCTTTCCTCAAGGCGAATGTTATTTCCTGCACCTTTTTCTGAAGTGCTAATGTGCTAAGAATTTCTCTCTATTATTGTAAATTCTTTATTAGACTGAGTGGATTAGTTTTGTTTGGAACTTCAGTTAGCTTCATACAGAGTCTGAATAAAGCCTCTTTCATTCCTCGGGGTAGTCAAAGCACTTTCCTAGTGTCCCTTGAATCTTAGATGTCGACTGATTTTACAGAAAATCATCCAAGACCAAACTTTGACAAAATGCAAAAACTTAAATGACATCCGTCATATATTAAGTAATCAGACCATCTAAATTCAGAAGAGACTGGTTGTCTTCTTCCAAGTGTTATTCTCACAGGGGCTGAAGGATAGAGATAGTACAGTGGGTGGAGCACTTGCTCTGCGTTGGGGCTGACCTGGACTTGATTCCCGATACCCCGTACGGTCCCCTGAGCCTGCCAGGAGTGAAAATTTATCTTTTTCTTTTTAGGTTCTAGGGCCATACCCATGGTACTTATGCTAGTGCTGGCTCTGTGCTCCCTAGTCCCTCCTTGTGGTGATCAGGGAGGGGGCCATGCAATGTTGGGTTTCAAACCCAGCCTTGTGCATGCAAGGCGCTGCAGCCACTGAGCGACAAGGACAATCCCAGGTGACCTTCGGACTCTGTCACTGTTAGCTGGCAGTTTCTTCCCATATCTCCCGATTATAAGCTCTAAGGATTCCAAGGCCCCAGGACAGGAGAGGCTTACTATGAATTTGCTCAACTGACTATATCTTCTCATTCTACGGGAACTCATTCTCCCCCACTTTGCTCTTGTGTTTTACTTTATTTTCTTTCTTCACTTTTCTTGGTTTATTTTGTTTTGGGGTCACAACTGTGATGTTCAGGGGTTACTCCTGGCTCTGTATTCAGGAATTATTCCTGGTGGTGCTTGGGGGACCATATAGAATGTGAGGGATAGAATCTCTCCTCTCCCTTTTCCCCATCCCTCCCCACCATCCCTCCCCACCATCCCTCCCCCTCCCAGCCCCCCCCCCCTCTCTCTCTCCCTGCACCCCCCTTTTGGGCATTATAGTTTGCAAGGCTATTATGTATATTTTTTTTTACTAAAAAAATGTATGAGATTAATATTTACGACCAGGAAAAATGGGTCTAGAAGGACTGGCCAATAGTTGGAAGCTTGTCAAAAGTGTGGGCTGAGGGCAGTTAGGATGGAGAAGGGACCAGTATGACAATAATTGTTGGAAATGACCACTCTGGATAAGGCAAGTAACTTACCCACTGCATTATCACTCCAGCTCCCAGAATAAAATGTTCTACCTGTGTACCCAAATCTACTCTTACCTAGTTCATCCTATCTTCGTGACATGATACAAATCACCTGTTACTAAGTAAAAAATAAATGAGTACCAGAATGCTTTTCATCTAACAAATACTAATCATAATCATCAAAATGAAGATTCAGACCTGTTACTGTCATCGAGTGGGAGTTGCTGCCTCTGGTGCTAGAGGCCACCACAGCTACACACAGCAGTGCCAAGACAAAATCCTATGCAAGCTGGCCATGGCCAGTTCTTTGAGCTATTTCTCTAGTCCAAAACTTTTTAAGTTTGGGCACCCCACCTACAGCGTGGCAGGGGGCATGGCCTCCACAGTAGTGGGTGTGGCTTCGGCAGGGCGGCCACAGTTATTTTCCTCTGCTCCCAGCACTCTGGAGTCACATCTCAAACTTCATCACCTAACTCTGTGAAGAACATCCTAACTATCTCAAACACAATTTCAACAAGTTTCCGGTGAACACAATAAGCTGTACAAGCCCAATATAAAAGATCACATCCTCCGAAGCTTCTCTAGAGGCCTCACATAAGTCACAGGGGAACAACTGAGAGGAAGGATCTATTCTAGAAGGGGAAAAAGGCGACCACCATTGAATGAGCTTGTTGAGAATCCTCTCTCACAGCAAGAGGGAATAGTGAACTGGAAGGTCCCACCTCCATACTACCACAACAACATGAAGAAACAGTGCAAATCCCTGCCAAAAGGAGAGGATGAAGAGAAGAGTCCAGAAGCCCCAACAGGCGTTACCCAAAAATATGATCTCTCTGACAAAGAATTCAGAGATGAAATGATGAAGTTGTTCAATGAACTCAAAGAAACGGTGGAACAGGCATCCAGCAAATTAAAGGAGGATGTAAAAGAAACAGTGGAACGGACAGTCAAGAAAATACAGGAAGAAGTTAGAACAGAAATTAGATACTCACAGTACTGTCACGAATTATTTTTATGAAATAAAAAACTCAGTGGGTGCCAGCCACACACTCTAGGGGAAAAGGGAGCTCAGATAGAGAAAGGAGCACCAAATAAAGGGTGTTGGGAGGATCCTCCCAGGATGGGAGAAGCATGCTGAAAGTAGACTATCGACCAAACATGATTGCCACTCAATGCCTCTTTTGCAAACCACAATACCCACAAGGAAAGAGAGAACAAAAGGGAATACCTTGCCACAGAGACAGGGTGTGATAGGGGATGGGGAGTGGGAGGGATACTGGGACCCATGGTGGTAGAAAATGGGCACTGGTGGAGGGATGGGTGTTTGATCATTGTACAATTGAAACCCAAGCACAAAAATTTGTAAATCCACAACTGTACCTCATGGTGTTTCACTAACAAAAATTAAAAAAAAAAAAAGTAAATGATGGAGAATGGGCACTGGTGGAGGGTTGGGTACCGGATCATTGTATAACTGAAACCCAAGCACAAAAATTTGTAAGTCTACAACTGTACCTCATGGTGTTTCACAAATAAAAATTAAAAAAATAAACAAACAGCAATCATTTCTTAAAAAAAAAAAAACCCAACTCAGTGGATGCCCTCAGCAGTAGAATGTCTACAACCAAAGATAGAATCAGGGAGCTTGAAGATGAGCTGCAGGAAGCTTACAGATGACAACAAACAATGGGAAAAGACCTCAAAATAGCTCTAGAGTGAATAAGAGACCTAGGGGATGATATCAAGAGGAACATTAGAATCATTGGAGTACCAGAAGGACAGAAAGGCAACCCCAATGAAAAAGCCAGTTACAGAAATCATTGCTGAAAAGTTCCAGAGCTGGAGAATGCAGGCATCCAGATCCAAGGAGCCTGAAGGGTGCCAGCTAAAAGAGACCCTAATAAAAAACTCCAAGACATATCATAGTCAGAATGATGGATGCCATGGATAGAGACACAATACTGTAAGCAGCAAGGTCAAAGAAGGAAATCACATACAAAGGAGCACCCCTTAGATTTACAGCAGACCTATCAGAGGAAACCCTCAAAGCCCGAAGACAATGGTGGGATATAGTAAAAAAAAATCAATGAAATGAATGCTTCACCAAGAATACTTTATCCGGCTAAACTCTCACTCAAACTCGAAGGAATGATAAACTATTTTATGGATAAACAACAGCTCAGGAACTTCATAGACTCAAAACCAAACTTAAAAGAAACACTAAAGGGGCTACTGTAAGACA